GCTCCGGTACTGCTGTGACAGCGAAAACTTGCTCTTTCCGCTGTTGACGGGGATCTCCAAGCTCCCGCTCTCTTCAAATTGTTCCAACATGTTTGCGCCATTAGCTGCCATGCGGACATTATTTAGCCATTCGTTGAAATCTTTCGATTTCCCGCTGAACGGAGGATAAGTGTACCGCACACTTTGGAACCGCTGGGGTTGTGGCTCCGTATCCAAAGCCAACAGCAGCACCATCTCCCATGGCACTACTATATTCTTGGTTGTGAGCAGCGGCTACTCTCACCTCTTGGGGGATAAAGCCCCCTGCTTCGCCGCTGTATCGCCCTGACGGGCCAGACTCTCGAACAGGTTCGCGCAGGTACCTCCCGTCCTGCGCACTCCCGGTCCACGGTGCCCCTNGACATTGGCTGGCTCATCTGATCCGTCAGCGAGCTAACTTGCGTCCTCAGGGCCACGAGCTCTTCTCTTGACCTCTTTCTGTCTTCCGCCGCAGAGTCGCTGGAGGAGTCACCCCCATCTTTGCGACCTGACATTCCTAATGGACTCTCCCTCGAGGGACTGACACTAGCGTGTTCGTATATGTTCTTCACTTGGAAGGGGAAGACGTTTATCTCTTGTATTAGACACGTAAGGGGAGTAGGGAGAAGGGAAGCCTTCGTTGGAGTTCGAGGGGTCCCTGCACATGCAACCATTTCAAGGTGTACATATGCCCCATCTGCGTGCCCTCTGTTGTTGCCGGTAGATCTAACCAGTCCGTATCCAAACACACGCACATCGGCTGCATCAGGAAAGCGGTCAGCAGACGGTTGAGGGCGAGGCCATAGCGGCGAGGGAGTGGAGGACGGCGATTCTAGCAACGAAGACACTCGTGGTAAGTTGGATGCCCACCAGGGTTTTCCACTCCTCTGCTTGGTTGTTGTTGCGTTTCCTGTTGCTGTTGCTTTTGCCCTTGCCGTTGCCGTTAAACATATGTTTGCGTAAATGAGATATCAGTTTCTGCGACATTGTCGTGTGTGCCCATCGTTGCAGAGACGGCCAGTGGCCAGATGGACGAGCTGAGTCTTGTGAACGACGACGACAGCTTGGAATCGGACGACGAGATTCACACCATGGAGATTCCGGATGGGTTTCGCATTCAAGCATCTACACCGGCAGCTCTTGACAGTTCGTCACTGTAGCGTGGAGTACTCGTCAGGCTGGGCATGGGGTGGTTTGGGGGGGTGATCACTCGACAGTCTCAGGAGCGCACTCGCTACCTTTAAAGACTACCGTGTGCATCTCGACCTACGAAAGTACGCGCAGCATGAAGCTGCCGTTGGAAATGTACAGAGGAGATCCGGATGCGGTGGTGGGCTCGTGGATCTTGCTTGAGAGGAGCACGGTCGAGCAGGTGGATGGGGGCGGAGCTGCAGCCACGTTGGGCGTTAGTAGAGCGGGAAGGGAACGCAGGCCGAACGTGACCCTTATCGACCAATAAGGTTGGAGCCTTCGGAATTTGTTTTCATATTTGTACTCAATCAACCGCGAGCATAGCTGCTGCGGTGCGTGATCCGGTCTAAGTCTGTTGTACAAGCATGCGGCCAAGTCGACGGTCAGTAATCTTGGTGTCTGGCGAATGAAAAGTGTGGGCATGGTACGGCGAAGTGTGGACGTGCTGTATGGGGATGACGCAACTTATTTTTCCGCATGAAACTACACGCCATTTTTCGCGTCCTATTGATGTAGTCACCAAAGGGCGTCCTGGTGCGCCTCTGGAGCACTCGACGGTGAAATAAGAACAAGAACCCCGTTTTCAGCGACCAAATGTCTGATCGGAATTATAACATGGCCATAAGAACATGTGCTGGGGTTGAGGCAGCCAATAAGCGTCGAGCCTCACGCCAAATTTGACGTTTCTAAGTGCGGGCGCCATCTGTACCGTATACGACACAACAAGACAAGTCTCCCCCTGGACCGACTTTCAAAGCTCGACTACGCCACGACGAAGAGGATGCACAAACGAAACGATACACTATTAAAGAGCTCTCGACCAGACAGCTTCAACGCCCCCGTTTTCGGCGCTGCGACTCTTTCTGCTGTTGATGAATCGAGCTTTCAAAATTGGTCGAGGGTGTGTGTTCTCTTGTGTCCAATACGGTACACTACCAGTGGCAAATCAAGTACCTCGACTACACTGCAACATTTCCAAACTACGGCGTCCACATCGTCCATTTCCACGTGGGTTGTCTGCTGCTGTTTTACGTGCGCGGCTGCTGCTGCCATACATAGGTCTCAATCAAGCGGATGTAGTCGTGTTGTTGCCGCGGTGCGACCCGTTCAATTCTGACGTGGAATCGGCCGGCGGTGGCCTATCGCACGTAAATATATGTGTAGATGTGCCAGTGGGGTCGTGGGTTTCCGCGTCTCGAAGTTGCTTGCGATCAAAGCGTGTTTCTTAGGCCTTCGTGGGCCGGGAACAGCAGGGAAATCGAACACTGAAAAAGGGGGTCACGTGAAATCAGCTGACACGGTGGAGTGCATTGGCCCGAGGCTGATGAAGGTGCGTCTACAAATTGACCGCACTTGCGGAGTAACTTGCGTGGTGGGGTACGCCCCCACGGAAACTGTCCGCACCACCGCAGGCGGTGATGTTAACGCCAAGGACTCCTTCTGGACTGCTCTCGAAGCAGCGTTCCGGGAGGTTCACAGCCGTGACCATCTCGTGGTGATAATGGACGCCAACGCACGCACTGGTAGGAGGCGAGGCGGGTGCTGCGATGCCAAGATTATGGGCGCGTACGGACGCGACATTATGAACAACAACTGGGAACGACTCCTTGGACTGGCATCAGACAACCAACTCTCCCTGACCAACACCTACTTCCGGACACCGAAAGGTGGAGTGCAGCACACATTCCAGAGCTCCAACACGGGGAAGGAGAAGTACCGCCTCGACTTCATCCTCATGCGTCAGACGGACCGGCGTTTCGTGCGTTATGTCTCCGTCAAACGTGTCGACTTCAAATACTCTGACCACAACCTCGTGCTTACGACTGTCCGCCTCCCACCCCGTGTCGCACCCAACCGACGAGTGCGGGGGGAAAGCGGAAGCAGCCGGATCCGTATCGACCTCGAGCGGTTGAGGAAGGACA